CTGGCCCTGCGGAGCACAGGTGTCAGACTGGCGGCCAAACTTTTGGGGGGTTTGGGTCCTGTCCTGGCGGAGCGTTCTCCTGTTAATGTTTAGCAGGTGGAGGCTGTGTCCCTGTGCCTTGTGCAAGCAGCTCCCGGGAACTTTCCAGGCTTTCTGTCCAGTTGTGCTCAAAGCGTTTGTCGTGATTGATTCTGTTGTGTGCCAGACTGGGGGTTTGCCTGCCTGCCTACCCAGAAGTTTCTGTGCCAAATTGGGGTTTGCCTTCCCGCCCTGAAGTTTATGTGTCAAGTTGGAGTGTTTGCCTTCCTGCCCTGAAAGTTCTTTGCTTTCTTGCTCTGCAGTATGAAAACCCCTGGACCATCCCGAATATCCTGTCCATGGCGCGGATGGGTCTGGCGCCGGTTTTGGGCTATTTGATTGTTGAGGAGAATTTCGATGTTGCACTCGGTGTCTTTGTTCTGGCTGGTGTGACTGATCTGGTAGGTTCGCCTCGGTTTGGGAGTGCTTTGGGGGCAGTCAGGGCTTGTGGTGATCCCACTGGAACTTAGACTCCAATGTAGAACGGAAAGAGATAAAATACATGAGTTTTTATATTTGTTGTTCTTTAGGAATGCTATATATGTCCTTTGTGACAGTGCAGAGGGAAGTTGCAGGTGTCCAAAGGGGACTTAATGCTGGTGGAGCAAAGGGGAGATGTCAGGGTTCCCTGACCAGCTCCAGGTGGGCATTGTCCAGTCAGAGCATCTGGGGGTCTGTTACTATGTGCAAGTGTACCTGGTGCATCCATGACAATAATTTTGTGAATTTCAGAACACCAGTTACACCCCCCCCACCACCCCGTTTGTGGTTTGGGGTTTTTTTGTTTGGTTGGTTTTGGGGGTTTTGTGTTTGTTTTTGTTTGGTTTGGTTTGTTTGTTTCTTTTTCTAATGAGAATTGAGTATGTTGAGCGGCTTCCAGTATCTGGAATGCAGTGAGGGGAAAAAAGCATGATGCAAGTGTCAGCTAACAGGTACCATATTTCATCATGGTTAAACTAGCTGTTTTATGTGATGCCGTTCATTAAATACCTCTCTAACAGTAGCATGTATAAGCTGGTTTTGTTCTTGGTTTTCTAACAGAGAGATGTTGAATTTTGTTTTTCCCAGTTGGATGGATTTATTGCACGAAACTGGGCAAATCAGAAGTCAGCACTGGGAAGTGCTCTTGATCCTCTGGCTGATAAAATTCTCATCAGTGTGCTCTATGTAAGCCTAACTTGTGCAAATCTTATCCCAGGTGAGAAAATACCGATTGCATGTACTATATAAGGTAAAGATAATTTTATGTGTTGTAATATTTCTATTAAATATTTAACATCCCCCTAACAGACCCCACAGAAAGCATATGCTGGCCCTATATAAAAACAACTGCCATTTTCAAATGCGCTTTCTTTAAAGCAACAATAGTTAGTAGCTATGTTAATTTTTTTTTAATAGACTGGATCGTTTTAAGACTTAAAAACCCCTTCAGAAGTCACATTAAAAATCTTCAGTCAGGCATAAAACCTGTTCAGAAGAATTTGGGAGTGGTTATTTTTTTCTCGCTTCATATTGTATGCCCCTTTGGTTGTGTTTTATTTTTAATCATGGACGTAGTTTTTCACTAGATCCTGTTGGCTTGATTTTTCAGTTTCACTTACTTCCATGATTATTCTGCGGGATGTAGCTCTGATTGCTGCTGTTTTTTATGTGCGATACAAAACTCTCTCTCCACCGGTAAGTGCGTTAAACGAAACTGATTGAACATGTAATCATAATAAAAAGTAAATTAATAAGCCTTTAACAAAGTTTGACCAAGCGATTTTCATCTTGAGACCTGATGGTTGCTCAGAACTTGGGTGTATACCCTAAGACATAATGCTTGTTCTTTTGCCAGATAGATTTCCAAGCAGAACAGGGTTTCATAAAATATGTTTCACTAAGATAAGTGAGAGCTACTGATAATTTTTTTTTCCTGTTCATGATGTGTAATAAATCATATAAAAGAGCAGTGTAATTCTCTAGTGCTACAGTTAACTTTTCTGTATCATGTGAACAGGTGTATCAAATTGAATGTACTAGGACTGCATTTTTTTCCTCTTCTCTCCCCCAACAGAGAACACTCAGTAGGTACTTTAACCCCTGTTATGCTACTGCCCAGTTAAAACCAACATTCATTAGCAAGGTAAGAGTAGTAACTCATTACAAAAGATAACTCCTCAGTACTTGGGGTGTTGTGTAGTTTGGAGGGAGGGGACAATTTACTACTACTGCTGAATACAGTTTCAAAATAGGGCACATCTTAATTTGGTCACAATTCCCATTTTGCTTTTTTTCAGACAAATACAGTGGTTCAGCTAATTTTGGTGGCAGCTTCTTTAGCAGCTCCTGTTTTCAATTATGTGGACAGCATATATCTGCAGACGTTATGGTAACTTAACTTTCTTTGTTTTTTTCCAGATAATTTAATGTGCTTCTAAAGAAACTGGTAATTGAGATTATTCTAATTGTGGGGAACACAAAAAAACTGTGCCCAGATGATGTAATATGCCTGAATTTTTACACCTTTATTCTTAAGCGATGCCCAAGATAGATATTGGTGCTTAAGTTACTATGCAAGTTAAAAGTAGTCAAATGAAACTAGTTAAGATCTGGGAATAATAGCTTAGAAACAAGTCTTCAGGTGTACACAGGCAAAGCATAAATTCAGATCAATAAAAAAGAAAGGAATGGAAAGAAAGGCTGTATGGATTCTTCACTTATTCATGCCTTAAGTGTCCTTGAAAAAGCAACCTTGATATCAGTAAAAATAGACATGAAATGTATTCTTATTTTTGCTTTACGCTGTACCTGCTATCTTGAAATCCAGGTTTCTGAAGCCTCTTTGAAAAGCACATGAAGAAATGGTGATTCCTGCTAGATTGTAGGAAGGAAGGGGAGAGATTGAATGAAAACAGGCATACAGGAGTGTCCTTCCTTAGTGCTGTTCTTTTCACTACTGTCCTTTGAGATCAGAACTGACCTGAGTATGAGTTGTAGCTGACTGCAGGTGTTAAAAGTGCAGTTATTTTTCCTGAGCAGTTAAGTAAGAGCTCAGAACAAAGAGGCTGAACAGCAGATACCAGAATTACTTAGTTAAAGTAGTGAAAAATCCAGGGTTGCTCATCTTCTAGGAAAAAAAAAACAAACACCAAACCAAATAAACCAAAACCACAAACCCAAAACAAAAAGCATTTAAGGAACTAGGAACCTTGATCTTAACAGTCAGTGTGGTTTTTCATTCTGTTGGAAAAACAAATCTAGGGTTGTATCTGTGAAAGATGCTTACCTTGCTGCTTGTCTGGGACTCTGGGAGAGTTACCATGTTGTGAATAATGGAGAAATGCTGTGTGTAATTTGCCAGAGTCCTCTGTAAAAGCTTTCAAAAATGCCCTGTCTTGAGTTCTGGCCCAGGGAGGGTTAACAGAGTGGCAGGACTGTAGCAGTGACTCACACCTCAGTGGGTGGCATCCGCCTTTTACACAGAGGAGCACTGATAATTTAGGAATATGTATGGTTGTCAACCAGCATCTGGGAAGGAAACAAAACAGGCTGAAGCAGAAACTCGTGCTTTAGCTTTGGTAAAATGCTAAGTTCAAGTCTTGTGTGGTTTAAACACTCGCCTTACAGTCTACCAAGTAATAATTTCTCATGTCAGTCAGTTTTCATGCTGGTAAAAGTTATATAGGCTGCAAATGCTGAATGTTTTGTCTTCCCTTCTCTAAAACAAATGCTAATACGGTAAAAAATTGTCTTAGTATGCAGTTACACTGAAGCCTGCAACTTAGTGCTGGATGGCAGATCCTTTGTTTATCTAATACCTCACTTAGCACTGAATTTCAGCATGGAAACTGTAAACTGTGGAGCTGTGTAGTGAAAATAGGGAAGACACTAAAAAGAAAAAAAATAACAGTTATTGTATTGTTCATAGACTCACATGACTTACAGGAACTGTTTTCCCCCAAGGTGCATCACAGCTTTCACAACGGTAACATCTGCCTACAGCTACTACCACTATGGCAGGAAAACAGTCCAGGTGATAAACAACAAATGAAGTTTTTATGGAAGCACAGGGACTTACCAGCATGGGGTGCTGTGTCTCCAAAGATGGTTGCATTGCAGCTGAGTTTTGGATCAAGCACTCTTGTTTGTCTGCTTTAAACCATGGCATCACAATGAAATGAAATTTGAACATGTACTGTGTATATATGTAGAGAGAGACTTTTCAATGTATTTTTAATTTCTTTAAAAATGGGGTTGTTTACAAAAATAAATAACATTCTTAAAAACACAGATCACTCGTTGCTGCCATGTGGATAATTCTGAATAATTTTGTACTGTTGTTGAAGTTAAAATACACACTTTGCACCAGTTTTTTTTTTGCTATCTTCATGCAAGGCACTGAGTAAGCCGAGATCTGAGAAGAAAAAGCAATTACAAGAACAAATTTGTCTTTGTACCTCATCCTGAGTCAGTAAACCAGCATTGCTCATCAAGACCTAATGACATACCTCAGCTTGCAGCAGAGGAAAGCACATCATCGAGGAACAGTATCTTCAGAAATTAAAAACCAGAGAGAAATCTTACTTCATGTTCCATGGTGATATGGATAAGCCATGAAGAGTTCCTACCCTGCTCCCTTTTCTTTTTAAATATGAGCAATGGTGAACTGTGCTCAGAGGAGAGTTTAGGTCTCAGAAGGCTCAGCGGGGCAGTGAGGAGTCTGTACCCAAAAGGAATTACATTTTTCGTACTATATATTCATTTCTAGTGATTGAAAGAAGCCCCTGTATCTCCAGATTCTTTAAAGCTCCTAAAGATGCTGTTTAATCTAAATAGCACTGGCAAAAGAGGACATTTTAAATACTGTCCAAATGAAAGGAGACAGTGGAAGAAACCTTTAGATGCACGTATTGTTAATTCTTGCTGTTCTTCCAGCTTCAGGAGATGCATTGTGATCCCCCTCAGGCAAGGAAAACTCTCTCTACTTACAAAACAACACAGAAGAAAGAACTAGACAGAAGAGATCATGGTGATCATAAACTCATGGTTTCTTTTCCCAAACAACATGTTTTTTTCTTGTGTGTCATAAAAAAGAGCGCAACTGTGAAGGGCTTAAATAATTGAAATCAGGAGGTAACTGATACCGCTGTAGTATTAGCAGAAGAAAAATTGCTGTAGACATCTCTTGAGAGCACACAGCCTCTTTTGTGATAGCATATGTTTGTATATACAAAGCATTTTAATATTTTTTTATATTTAAACTTAAAAAGCGGTGTACAGAGAAAACACTTGATCTTTTATTAGTACCTTTGTCTTAAATATTAGTACCTCTGTCCCCATGTTCTATGGTCAACACTGCATCGTACAATGAAGGGATAGAAGGGAAGTTTCCTTAAAATAGAGGAGTATTTAGTAAAATGGAGCAGTTTTTTCTTGAAGAAACGGTTCGAAAAGCAGAAATTTATTGTTCCTAGTCGGGTCAACGCTGTTTGGTTCTGATTAATGTAATGGGGGTTTGGTTGAGGGGGTGGTTCCTTTTACCTATGACATGGAATTGCCCGGGGCTGGTCCGCGAGGGTACCAAGTTAAATGTACAGTGGCTCGGTGGTTAAATAAAATTCGTTTGGATGCTCCAGCCGCTGGCATGTCTGGTGTTCCACGGTTACAATCCGCTTCCCGGGGGCGTGATCCATTCCCTGTGGAAGCTGGGCGTGGGCGCGGCGCGGCGCGGCGGGGGCTGTCCCCGCGCGGCCGCCGTACCCGGGCGGGCCCGCCCCCGCCCTGCCCGCGATGGCGGCGCCGGAGCCGCCGCCGCAGCCGCCGGAGGGCTCCCGGCCCCTCAGCGCCCTCCTGGGCGGCATCGCCCAGGCCGCCTTCCACGGCAACGCCGCTGTCACCGACGAGCTGCTGCGCGGGCAGCTCTACCCCGAGGCGCCGCCGGAGGAGTTCCGCGCCCTGCGCGCCAAGATGGGCGGCCTCCTCCAGGTACCGGCGCTGAGGCGGGGAAGGGGCCGCGCTCTGGGGGGACGTGCTCCCTCGGCCTCCGGGTGTCCTCGGTGGGGCTCTGGGGGCGGCCGAAGCCGCGGGTGCTGCTTCTGTGGTTTCAGCGGCCGTCCTCAGCGCGGGGCCGAGGCTGGCCAGCCCCTCCCAGCCTAACCCAGGCCTGCCCAGCCCAGCCCTGCCCAGCCGGGTCTCTCCGGCCGCTCCTCAGGAGCTGTGAAGGGGTAACGGCGACACTCGGGTTCTACAGCCGTGGAAATAAGTAGCCGCAAGTTTCTGAGGAGAGCTGCGGATTTCTTACAAGAAAACTGTGTTTTGGCGGAAGCAAGCCGTTTTCCACAGACAACAGGTTTTGGTTTATGTGTAGGAGAGGAGAAGATATTCTTCTCCCTTAACGCATCTTATTTTGAGCTCCGTTCGGCGAGAAGAGAGTAGCGTGGTGTAGTGTAGTTCCCGGCGGCTCGATGGGGCTCAGGGAGCCTCCAGGTGCTAAATCCTTGGGTGGCCACTGCCACCTTGTGGGTGAATCCGTGGCTCTTTGGCCTCTTTGGATTTATAAACTCGGTCGGTAGTTTTAAATGTAATTGACATACTGGGAATTTGATGAGGATGTTGGCACTGGTTTTCTGCTTTTATGGAGATTCCATGGTTCATTTAATTATTAGATTCATACGATGCCCTGAAAAGCCTCTAATGAAAGCTGAGTAATAAAAATTGATTCTTGTAGGACTGGAGTCTGGTTTTGTCTGTGGGCTTGTTTCATTCCCTCCTCTCAAGTACAAATCTTATTCAAGCACTGTTGAGATGTCATACTCTGGACATAATGTTAATTCAGAAGACACAGGTGATTAAAGTTTTGTGGATATTTACCCATTGTTGTAAAATAGGCATATAGCTTAGTAGGATGACTGTGTATTGGGGAGAGGGTATCACATTCCCTGTGTGCTGCTTCAGAAGCAAAACTGGTGGCAGTTGTGTTCATCGACGTCACTCACACCTTGCAGTGTAAATTAGCATCTCACTGTTACCAGGTGTGTCTCATGGTCTTCATGGCCAGCACTCGTCTCCTTATGGATGAAATTCCTGGGAAATAAGTGAAATTTATGCAGTTCAGCTTTAAAGATAAAGTTTTGTGCTAAGCAATACACAGACTACTTTGTACAATTTCATGTCAAGGGCGCATGGATTTTGGGGTGCTTATTCCTAGCAGGTAACTTGAAGTAACACCCAAGTCCTGTGGATACTTTTGGCATCTCTGTTCTAGAGCATCCTAAAAAAAAATCTTTTGGCTTTCTAGTCATTTTGAAGGCACCTAAATTAGATGGGATGGATAATGCCTCATGCGTGTCTCTTGAGGGTTTTTTTTTCTGACATCCATCTTGATAGTCAGAAGCAGAGAGGTTCGTTGCCATTGTGACTTAATTGCTGTAGTAGTTCATGTCTTCTAAGCAACAAACACAGATCTGTACCATAAATCAACCACTTGCCTTTGCTAGAGCTGAGCATAAATAAGGCAAAGGAGTTTCCTGTTCCCTTCTGCATTCCACCTGTGCAAAGCATGGCACCTGTGAGAAGCATGGAGATGAATAAGTGACACTAAAGTGTCAATAAGCATTTAAATGTGTGGGGTTTTCCCCCTGGATTATGTATAGAATAGTCCTGGTTTTATATTTATAAAATATGTCATTATGATCTACTTTTTATAGATGTTTCCTTCGCTGTCCATAGAGCTGCTGAATGAGCGTGAATCATCTGAGCTCTTTCTAAAATGCCAGATTTATCTTATAGTGAAATAATGTCTTTTATTCAATTTACTTTTTTTTTTTTACTCTTATTTCTTGTGTGGAATATCTTGGAAGGTAGAATAAAGCCCTAGGAAGGCTGGCCTTGGAGAACTGTATGACTTCAGTGTTGTTCTGTCAGTTGTTTTTTTGCCCTCTGCCTTCATCCCTCCCAACCTCCTGTCCTGTAAGACTGCGAAACATTGAGAAACTGGGGGAGATCAGCTTTTGCAAATTCTCACCCCCAGCTTTTTTTGGTTTTTCAAATATTACTTCATCCTGATTAAAACACTAATTTTGTCTCCTTCTTACATAAGTTTAATTTACAATATTAGTCCACTGGTAACAGTTACTTTACATGTGGAGTAATCCCACTGTTTTCCTTTTGGTGGCAGTAAGTTATTGCATTTATTGAGCAGGATCATTTGCTGCTGGGTTGAAAGTGTCCCTAGTTCACTCTTCTGCTTCAGAACAAACTGTACGTAGGCTAAATAAGAATAAAAATTTCAGCATGAGGACTATAAATATTTTAATATATTTGATTTATATTTTTTCCCCCACAAATACCGAGGATTTTACCATCTGTAATAAATATCTTGGTATGTGAATGGTAAAATATTAATCGGATTATATAAATAATATGTGGGAACCAAGAGCCTGATATCCAACATATAAGATGCACCCGAGCTCTGTGCATACACTTCATAACATTCACTTGCTCCCTTCCCTCGATGGTTTTCATTAGGAATCATGCTGGTAGTTCTGTCAGATTACTGTGATGTTTAATTCTACTGGTTTTCAGCCAGTCTGGGTTACTGAGCCCTGCTGTGCCATGGCACACACAGTGTATATAAATCCCCTCTTGAAGCTATTTCTAATGATTTCTTTTCTTCATGCCATCAGAGAAAAGCTGTTGAATAAGAAACCTTTTGATCAAAATCTTATCTAAAGGCTTGTGGAAGAAAAATTAGTGCGACTAGTGGATAAAATCTCTCGGTGTGTAAAATGCTCTGGAGTTGCATGAGCAACTTATGGGTGCCTTGAAAGCTGCCGTGTGCTCTTACCATGTGTTGTCCCTAAAAATTGTCCCTTTCCTGCTAGGGACTGCGGTCCTTTCCCTGTGAAGTTGCTGTTGTGACCTCGAGAGGAGTTCCCAAAGCATTGCTACCCCTGTTTGAGAAGGAAGAGACTATTTGCTCTTCATAAAAGGGATCTGCCCTTATGTGAAAAATCAGAGCAGAAAAGCAGTTGTAAGGTTCACTCAGTTGTGGGGGATATAAAGGCCTTTGCATCTTCTTCAGCAGGATTTCTGCTAACTGAAACATTTCTGCTAAGAATTTCTGAAGCAATTTCTGCCAACTGGTAGGAAATAAATTACTTCTTGCATTTTCTAATAAGGGAAGAGAGTTGCCATTCTTCCCTCTCCTCAGATGCCTTGTGATTCCTCAAATGTGTGGGCTGAGTCATGAGCTCGGGAGCACTTTGCAGTTGTCCAGGCTTCTGCAAGGCTGAGAGGCAGAACAGCTTCAGTCTGAAGACTGAGATAAAGTAATTTTGGAAGAGTTAATAGGAGAGGCTGCTTGATTTCTTCCATTTAGAGTTGCAGTTGTGCCTGTGCCTACTAAGTGGAGAGAGAACTCGGTGGGCATACTTGTTCTTCTTGATTCAGGTAAAAGAAAACAAGTTGCTGCTACAGCAGTGCCAGCTGTGTCCATATGAGCTGCTTTCTACCCAAATGTGTCCCATGTAAGTGTTATACCTTTCACTCCAGCAAATGACTGTGCTTACTATGAATAAGTCTATTTGTTACTGGGCTGGGTGAAAATGTATTAATAACTTTGCACAAAATTTTGGGAGGGAGGGAGTGTCTACTGTGTCATAATTGGACATATGTAAGAAAATTATTATCTGAATTGATGTTTGCTTGGAACAACTACATAAAAATGCTAGCCTATTTTTTTTGATTTAGTGAAACACCACTGTTATGTAGCTCACTAATCTGAACACAGCTCAGTTGCCAGCTCTGCAGTGTCTGGTGTTGAAGCATACATTTTCATTTTTATATTTGCATATAAACTATAAACCCACAGTTATTGCTTCTTTTTAGTTTTAAATTTCTTTTCCCATTTTCAGCATTGTCTTAAGAGGGTAGAAAATGTAATGTTTACCTGAATGTAATGTTTACTTCATCACTACTGTATTGCAGTGATGAAAATGTGCATGTGTACTGTCCCAAAGCATTCTTCCTAGTGCTTTCAATATGAGTTAGTTTAGATTTTAGGTTTGTGTACTTATGGTCAGTTCACATAAGGACTGGGACAGCTGGCAGTTAACATAAAGTGGAGAGGGAAAATACTTGAAAACAATGAACTGGAGAGGAAGGTTGGATGCAGAAAATGATTGAAGAACATTGCCAGCAGCTGTAAGATCAGTGCTTCACTGCCCAGAGCAGCAATTTATTGCTTGGGTATGGCAGCCAGAAAGAGCAATGTACCTGCATCTTTATGGATTTGTTAATACTCCTCTTTCTGTGATTTCTCGAGTTGCAGAAGTCGGAGTTTGTGTCATTAAAGCCTTTTGCAATTGCAACACAGTTTTCATTGCTCCTGTAATTACTGAGATGTGTGGAAGGCGGTGTTACTGTGGGAAGTGGGGGTGATGGTGTTCTGCACCCAAGCAGATCTGTGTGAATTGGAGTGTTGTTTTAAACAACAGGGTGTGAACAAGAGTCTGTACATTACAAATCTCACAGTCTTCCTGCTGCCGTGCAACTACGAGTGCAATCCTGAAGGGAGGCAGAAATAGAAGGGATCCCACCTTCATAATGTCGTTAATTTAACGAGTAGTATTTTCT